CAATACATGATTTACATCTCCAAAAAGGGAATTCAAACAATCATAATTTTCTAAAAATGTAGGAACAATTTATATGTTGTAAAATGTAATACATTTTACACATTTAAGAAATATATTTTCCTCTTTAAGCGGAGACATATCAGGCAAGATCTGCCGTGTTCGGTTTAAGGAGGGAATCTGACTCATCCGAATTCATTTCATCATCAGTCCCACCGCCATTCTATGTTAATGAAGCACTAACCAAGCAGCGTGCAGCTGTTTTGCCAAGGCCCGACTTCTCAAAAGTATTGGTGTTTTGACCGTGCATACACCCGTGATGGCCGTATTATCGTGCGAGACACCAAAGGCAAAGGCTTCAAGTTCACCAAACTATCAGAGATGTCCAACTACCTCGACTCTCCTCCCAAAAAGTCTACGCATATCGGCGCGACTACTTCCAGCTCCACGCGACTGAGTGCTCTAACACTAACACTAAACATGTTGCCCCCTCAAGCCACTGGTACTTCGACCCCCAAACAGAACAACAAACCGTCAAGTCAATCGGTGATGAATGACTATAACAAAAATCGATTTTCGACAATCTCTGGATTTAGTTCACAATAGTTATTTACGTGTAGTATCAAAATATACATGTGCACCCTTGTGTTTACACATGTCTATATATATATATATTGGACCCACGTATACTATTTAACCTTGCCATATATTAGTATGTGAACATAGCCTGTTATGGCTGAATATTGTTGAATATTAATTGAAAATAAACCAGCAGGATCTGATGGCATGTTACCTAAAGTCATAAAAAAGTTAAAACCTTCCTTAATACTCCCACTTACAATTTTATTTAACAAAACTATATCTAACGGGTGCATACCTGGGCCATGGAAGATGGTTAATGTTAGTGCTGTATACAAAGGGAATGGTTTAAAAAATAATGATTCCAATTATCGACCAATATCTGTAACATCATGTTTTAGTAAAATCTTAGAAAAAATTATATTCAAATATTTATATAACTATTTAACAACTAATAATATACTTTCCAAGGACCAATCAGACTTTAAACCAGGTGATTCTACAGTAAACCAACTTCTCTCTATATACCACACCATAATTAGCAACCTGGATAAAGGGAAAGAATAAAGGTTTGTATTTTGCGACATCAGCAAGGCTTTTGATAGAGTTTGGCACAAAGGGTTACTACATAAACTAAAAGCATATGGTATATCGGGCAATGTTTTTAACTAGTTTGAAAATTATCTTGAAGATAGAAAGCAAAGAGTTCTATCTGAAGGTCATTTTTCTACTTTTAGGGTTGTTAATGCCGGTGTTCCTCAGGGATCAGTTCTCGGTCCTTTTTTTATTTCTATTATACATTAATGACATCACTGATTTAGTCCAGAGTAACATTAAGCTGTTTGCAGACTATACATCATTATATGTCATCGTAGACGAAAACCCACAACTAGCAGCAGATTATCTTAACAAAGACCTAGATAGAATTAACAACTGGGCTAGTACATGGGACATTAAATTTAACCCCTCTAAAACCAAATCACTTTTTTTTCTAGAAAAAAAGAACCTATCCATCCTCTAATTAATTTCTCTAATACTTGTGTAGATAATGCCCATGATCACAAACATCTTGGATTAACTTTTTCTGAAGATGGCACTTGGTCTACCCATGTTCAATTAATATATGAAAAGGCTAGTAAAAGAATAACAATACTTAGGTATCTGAAATATAAGATTGATAGGAAATCACTATGCAAAATATATACAACATTTATCCGCCCAGTGCTTGAATATGCAGATATTGTCTGGGACAACTGCTCTGACAATCTTAAAAATTTATTAGAATCTGTACAACTAGAAGCTGCAAGGATTATCACAGGTCTAAGGAAAGGTACATCACACCAAACTCTATATAAAGAACTAGGTTGGGAATCCTTGTCTGATCGAAGGATGTACCATAAGCTAATTCAGATGTATAAAATAACTAATAATTTATCACCCACATACCTCCATGACATAATTGATCCTCTTACTCATAACCCAGAAAATGATAGGTTTACTCTAAGAAATGTAAGAATGTTTAACCCACCACTATGTCGTACAGAAACCTATGCTAAAAGCTTCTTCCCAGTAATGTGAAACAAGTTCAATGGACTTGAAATGATATAGTACATTCCCCTACTCTTAATAAATTTAAGGCCAATGTGTATAATAAAATATGTTGTAATAATGATCTCTCGGATGTATTTAAAAATTGTGAAAACAGAAAGGGTAACATAATCCTGTGTCAACTGAGAAATGAGGCGAGTAACCTGAACTATGATCTATTCAAACATCACTTGCTGCTACACATTATCTTTCACAATGTATACTGATGAGAGACAAACTTTAATAAATGAGATTTTTGAAGTGTGTCCGGTTAATAGTGTTCTTAAATATATATACAACACAGGAAGACTTGTTTAATTAATCAAAACAATCTATTAATTTTGTTATATATAGTCATAACTGATAAAATACTGTCTTTAAACCATTATGTGATTCTACTGATTGTTATATATACATTGATGTTTTAATATTATACACCTAAGTGATTAAGCTTTGTGTGCTGTTTTTACTGAGGGTGCAATAAAGTAAAACATAAATGTGCTAAGTTTGAATGCTTAGTGTTCTGTGGTTTAATCTGGATTCTTCTCGAGTGGATGATATGTGAACGGTAAAGGCCGTTAGAGACTTTTTGTCTGAAACTCGATGGGATGAAAGATTTACACATAGAACACTGGCAATACATCTTACACATATACTACATTATCAAAATCTTCTAGCTGAATTGCCTCATTTTATTTTTTCATATTTTGATGTTGTTGTATCCCTTACTTTTTATCACTCCTACCAATGATATATATATTGATACTAAATGGTTCTATACTTCTAACTACTTCATGCAACAGCAGCAGGGTATGAACAGGGGGCACTAATGACTTGCAAAACAAAAACCAAAAAAACAATTGTAGCAATTTCTCTGTTTAATATATCATTAGGGCATTGCTTTCCTATTACTAATTAATTATGATTGACTTTTTAATATGAGCATTGTATAGCTAAAAATATCAATTAAATATTTATATGTAATTGAAACATACATGGAATTATCTCCCCTATACCATCTGCTCTCTCTATATATATATGTCTNTTACACATATACTACATTTTCAAAATCTTCTAGCTGAATTGCCTCAATTTATTTTTTCATATTTTGATGTTGTTTTGTCTCTTACTTTTTATCACTCCTACCAATGATATATATATTGATACTAAATGGTTCTATACTTCTAACTACTTCATGCAACAGCAGCAGGGTATGAACAGGGGGCACTAATGACTTGCAAAACAAAAAAACCAAAAAAACAATTGTAGCAATTTCTCTGTTTAATATATCATTAGGGCATTGCTTTCCTATTACTAATTAATTATGATTGACTTTTTAATATGAGCATTGTATAGCTAAAAATATCAATTAAATATTTATATGTAATTGAAACATACATGGAATTATCTCCCCTATTCCATCTGCTCTCTCTATATATATATGTCTATGCTACTTATTATATATGGTTTGCATTAATATTTTCTTACAAACCATTTCATTCATCTTTGTCTTTGTCATGTCAACCTAAGGAGAGAACTTATATAGGCCTAGCCTGCAGTTCAATCCTATTGTTTACTCAATAAAAAAATTAATGTTGTCCAAATTCCTCAGTTCTGTTTACAATGTAGCTCCTTTCACTAAGTCACCTTTAAGGAACATATGCACTGCCACCTTTTGTGTAACCTCATCAAAAGTATCAGGGTAACCCTATAAGGACAGTTCATATACCCTGTTTGTCTAACCTTCTCATAGTTAATCAAAGTCGAGTTATAGTGAGTGCAGTTGACGTCTGATTTTAGAAAAAAACACCTGCGTCCAAACCTCTTAAAGTTTTGATATAGCTGTGTAGCCGAGCTATTTCACGGCATTCTTCCGCCCTGGTGTAATTATATTTTTTTCATAAACTCTACATTGAACCAAATACTTCACGCTACGTACTTAATATTGTTATTATATGTATTATGCATATAATGTCGCAGGGCAGTGGACACACAAGGTCTATCGTATGCTGATATGGAAAATATGGAAATTTTTGGCCCTCTTTATGTTTGACTTATGATGAGGAAAGAGAGAACGATTATTTCCAAACACAAGGGCAACATATATATAATACAACTTACTGTTTCATGTCTAATGCAGTTATAACGTTGTTGTAGTTTAAGTATTGTTCTGTGTCACTTTCAAAAGAATCATCAATTGCAGCAAATAGTATACTTTCATGATGTTTCGAACATGTTGTGATACAAATTATTAAGTTGTAGTTGATATGCAAAGCGAGGCAATTCTAGCATGATTAAGGTGGGGGGAAAACAAGAAATAAAACAATACATGATTTACATCTCCAAAAAGGGAATTCAAACAATCATAACTTTCTGAAAATGTAGGAACAATTTATATTTTGTAAAATGTAATACATTTTACACATATTAGAAATATATTTTCCTCTTTAAGTTTTTTTTAATTATAAACATTTTGATAGTTCATGCATATTCTTGCTCAAATTCTGATTAGTTTGTTATACATTTGATATCAGAAGATGTCAGCGATATTGAGTTCTTTAGCATTTTTGACACTGAAAATGTTTATTAGATAAGATTCTAAATGGTTAAGGTTGGACGAGAGAACATTACAAACACAAGTGTACATCAATATTTACTTCCTTTTGTTGTCAAATAATGATCTAAAAGTATCCTAAACAATCAGTCTGACCATTTGTTAGAAATCAGCATCAACTTGTCATGGCACTCAATCTGTTTGGGTCCAACAGAAAATGTTTTGATTGTCTATAACGTTAACAGAACCTGCCGTGAACAGAACCCAATGTTCTGAAAATATTCTAATATTCTTTCCTGATAAGATTTTCTAAAATGTCACTTCCGGCAACAAACACTTTCAAGATATTTCGGTCATCACCTGAAAAACACAAATTGCTCTTATGATTAGCAAATATGCTTATTTGAGCCAGTTTTATAGACACAATAATGAACAGCACTGTATTGTCATTAAAATGTGTTTCTTCAGTTGATATTTCGACCAATAGCTTATCATATTTACCGAGAAAGGTGAATTTCTGAAAGGCATCTTCTACCGTGTCATCCTCGAAGATATCAATGGGTCCTCCATTAACATCAGGATCAACAACAAGAGCATCAAATTCCTTCCCGATCTCAAAGTTACCAATTACGTCTTCCATATCTAAAACTAGAAAATTACTAAAACTAAAATAAAAAATGACGGTAATAAAACATAGATTTAATAGTGAAATAAAATGTATAGACAGGCATGGCAAATTTAAATTTTATTTAATCATCATATCTTGCGATGATGAAAAACTTTGTTAAAATGACTAAATTCATATATTTGAAAAGTAATTTAAAGGCATGAAATACATAATTCGACGATATCCACATGGACCTCTGCCTGTACAAAGAAAAATATGTACTGCACTATACCGATATTAGAATAAAAGCAATCGAAACCATGTTTTCAAGCACAAAACAAAAATAGAAATTCTATTTTGCAATTTCGATTTGATACATAACGGTATTGCTGTAGCCTAGAAACCTCAGTTAACTTCAGCAAACATGGGTCGTGCGATGACAAAACAATACAAACGCTTCATTGCTGTGCGTCAAAAGTGACTTCACAGTTACATCACAACAATTTTACATGTGCAAAATTAACCAAATATATCAGGTATTCATTCAAAATAATTGTTTATCCAAAAGGACAATATCAATGTAGTCAGTTGGCAACGCACGTTGCCAATTTTAGCACTAGTGAATGCAGCAATGTAGATTAAACATATAAATTATTTGCTATATCAGTAACACACATCACAAATACTGCGTACAACAAAGTTGTGCCTAAGAATTTGATACTGACGTCACAATCAATGTTGTAGTTTCCTCATTGATTGCCGCTCTCTAAAGAAAGTGTTATGTCTTATAAATAGAATATATTTTACAATACGCCCATCAACAATCAATAGCGTAATTCCCAGTGAAAATTTAGTATATGTATACCATGATCATACATACTCCTGTAAAACTATATATTGAGAAGATAATGGGGCTTATCGCTAGACCAAAAAAACAACATAACTAGCAAAGGTGATATGTGTATGATTGTATTATAATTATGCTTTATACTCATTTAAATAGGTATGTATACCAACTATTTTCCAGCGTATAACTATGTTATTTAACATTATTTACCCTTTGCTCCTTCTAATGTTGCCATTTTGAATACTTCCTGATAGTCTAGCGGCTTGTAGTTAGGGCCCTTTTGCATGGCGATCGTGTTCGAGGTACAAACGGCAGCCCTCATTGCATTCAACATTGATGCATTGTAGCCTCCGGAAATATCTGATAAAGAAGTTCAATTAAATTTCATTAAACTGATTATTTTAAAATAAAGATAAATAAATAAATAAAAAGCAACATTATTTTATTCTGTTCACTTCTTAATGCTTTCACAAAGTCGACATCCCAAAATAAAATCGGTGATATATGAAAAGCGACAGGATTAATTCTCTGCATCGAAGAAGTTCTAAACTTTTCATAAATAACCCATCTTTGAAATCAATTGTAACAGTAATTGAATAATCAGAACTGAGTTTCGCACTTTTAAATAATCTGTCGTCAGATGTTTGTTAAAGCTAATATTTCAGATGAACAACTCCTTCAAGTCACAATATTATTTATAAGATTTCTATTATTCACTTAAATGTAACAAAATATTGTTTAAAAAAATATTGTTTAACAAAATATTGTTAACAAATTATTGTTTATGTGTGCACTGTCTGATAACTTGGAGGCCCACGTAAGTATATCGTATTTTACTTAGGCTCGTCATGAATACAAGATTTTTAAGCAGATCATAACACAATACCATTGCCTGCATATCGTTCTCTTCACATATCATGTTGCCCGTCTTATTTCTTAATTTTTTAATTTATTTTAAACACGTGCTTACGCATATATATTTGACTTTTCATTCTGCTGTTTTGAACATGTTATAAACATTTTTTTCTCTGTCAAATGTTGATAATAAACGCACACAACCCTTTGCTAATTTGGGAGCGTTCTGCCATTGATGAACATAAAAACTTACCAGTTCCCAAACCAACACTTATATTATCATCGAGATATGCTCTCACATCAAGCATGCCGCTACGCATCCTGTAACAAATTAACAGCAGTTTATCATTTTTCCCATGATCGAATTAATTTATTCAGACAAAAATGATCATTGGTCTATATATTTATTCAGAAATTATCAAAATAACCATCGTTCTAAGGTCAGTAATACATAACAACATGTTCCCTGTTTACTTTAAATGAAAATAAATAACATCTTGAAGTTTTATATTGTTAGTTGTACAATGAAATAAAATTATAGCAATACTTACGATATGTTGGAATTCGGACAGTGTGAAATACCGGAGTGTCTAAGTCTGATTAGCTTGCGTTCATCTGACGACAGATATATTCCGTGGGCGAGAACTGTCTGTTTGTTAAAAGATTATTATAGACATTTTTGTTATCTAATGGATGATATTTCAATATTTTACATCAACGCAACATATGAAACGAATATAAGTGAAAAATAAGACGTGACGGAAGAACAGTTTAGTCGACAGACAGCCTGTACCTAATCAGTCAGCAAATTAGCAAAATTATTTTTATAAGATATACAGTTATTTAAAACTTTATTATGTACCTTTTGTGTCAGCAGACCGGCTTCATTGTAAATGTCCGTGTATGACCTTATCTCTGGAAACAGCTTTCTTACCATTTCACACTCGTCTTTTGTCTCAGCAATATGGGTCTGCAAAGAATTGAAACTTAATTGTTGTCATGGTCTAGATAATAACAACAACAAGTTAAAGGCCACCACTAGCCCTCCACCACTGAGTCGCGGGTTCGAAGCCTACGTGGGGCAGTCGCCTGGTAATGACCGTAGGTTGGTGTTTTTATTCTCCGGGAACTCCAGCTTTCCTCCACCACTAAAACCTGGCACGTCCTTAAACGTAACCATGGCTGTTAATAGGACGTAAAATGCAAACAAATCAAACCAATTTTTCTTTTTGTTTCGATCATTTGTTGAAACATTTTTCAAAAACATCAAGTGCACTTCCTTTTGATATATCAATACCAAAGCATCGATGCAACCGTCTTACTAGCATTGCATGAACACCTATGAAATCCTAAAGGATAACAGCACAGCTTAACTGTTTAATACTATTCTGCTATCCATGCATGCTTAGTAAACAAAACATTTCATTTTCGACTGTGAAATGACAGCATTTTTTAAGCATAAATATCCATCCTGTCAGCTTTATTGTCAGTAACCCTACATGTAAATTAAAACACAGCAAGATTGATATGTATAACATAAATTCTGACTGTATTAGGTGAAGCGATGTGTCGGTAATGAACTTCAGTGTTAGTTGCCTCGATTTTAAAATGTTAGCATGACAATTTCTTAGTTGATAGTCAACAAGGAATTCCCTGAACATTCGACGGTCAAACTATATACAGGGAATGAACTTGTGATAAATTGTTTATCTGTAGTCAGCATTTTGAGGAACGTGAAACATAGGAACTTGATTGTGAATGCATGTTTGAGAACGCACGCGAATTTAAAATGTATTGTGGTTTTTACACATAACAAAACGAATATTGTGAATAAAACTTTAAAGGTTTCAAACTAAATAATATAGAATAAGTCTGACAAGAGGTTATATAATCACTCCTAATATTCATCCGTTACATTGCGGGAGTAAAGGATTTTTTAAAAGAAAAGTTTCAGACGTAGACGTGTGATCCCCACGACTATAACTTGTTCATGATAATGATGACTTACTCATATAAAATGTTCTTTTCAAGGATCAGCTTATCGTGATTGGGATTTGAAGTGAAATAAATATCAATGGTTTAAGAAAGATACAACTATGTGATAGCCCCTTAAAAATGTGCAATAGATACTGTTATACAAAACGAAACGTCGAGGAAAATGTCACAACCAGAAATCAAAGATAAAGATGAACCAGAAAAAAAAGAGTTTAACTTACCTGCACATGAAGATTATGACTTTTGGCAATATGTCCAAGTCGCCTCATTAACTCCATAGAGCAATTACCTGCAAACCTGGGAGTGATCGATGGTTTGATATGTGTGTACTGAAAAGGTAAATAACTATCAGATTAAGATGACTGGAACTAATAACTTGAGTGTCGGGATTATTATTTTCGTCAAATTAAGTATAAAAAGACATCACCATGCAGGGAATAGCGAAAAGAAATGTTTTTATAGAATTGATGTAAAACATGATAATCTATGCACTTTGCACTTTGCAGCTTCCGTCATTTCGTCACGTGATATCTTTTTTCAATAAGAAATGTGTATTATAATCATTCACAATTCAAAAAGGTTACAAAATAGTTGTAAGATAGTTGCAAAAACATTAAGACTGTTAATGTTTTTAGTAACAGTATACATGGCAACAAATTCCAAAAATAACTGGCAACTAATCATCTTAATGACAGGGATAACATGACTAACGAATATCCTTCATTCACTGTCTGATGATATCAATTACAAACCTTTCTACTTTCAACTTCTTGAACATATCTGGAAAAAGAAGAGATAATATAACGCTATTAATTTACTACTATCTGAGGTTTTTTTTAACTTTCTTGTTTAGTATTCTTTGTAAAATTAACTGAATAAAAACGTGTATATCATCTAACTATTCTTTTTAGGTTTTATTTACATTAATCGACTGGGGGGCTGGTACCACCATACACAAAAAACTAGAGGATAATTTTAAGAGATATTTCGTAACATGAAATACGGTTTGCATGTGTTATATAGATGTTAACCAACCGTAAGGTATCCTGTACTGATGTCGTTGTTTTTTCTTTGTAATTGTCAGGGCAGTTTTGGTCCATATAGACTTTGCCTACAATTGCCCTCTGTCCAATACTTTCTAAAACCGAAGACAAATACATTCTAAACGAAAAGCACATGTTCACACTTAATCCCGACCATCGTTCTAACTTATACAATCTCAGCGATGATTGTGGCGCGAGTTAACAGTCAAATAAATATCTGAACAGTTGAAATAGGAAACAAGCATGACAAACCACATTTTTAATATTCCTCAAACACATAAAACGTAGCAAATTTTAATTTTCCGAACAGATAACGAAGCGAGATAATGCAAATATTGCCTGTTTAGTAAGGGTGTTTTTTTCCTTAGAAACCGAATATATATTAAATTATAAATGTGATAAAACATAATGTATATCATGATTGATTATAAGAATTCGAACATTTCTGTTTTTAATGTGTTTTTTTCTTAATGGTGAACTTTATATGTCATGATAAAATATAAAATGCGGCTATCAGTATTCCAATACTCACGTAATATGTCACAGAGTTTCAGTGTCGGACTGGTATGAATTGTTGCATAATAGCTGGCTGTGGTCGTTCCATTTTTGATCACCCGAGACTAATGCAAGATGTTAACATCTTATATCATTAATTTGTTTATTGTTAAACTGTTGAACATTCTTTGATAAAGACGAAAGCATTGCAAACAAGACAGTAAATAACTGGTTAAGGTGTATGACGGAAAAACAAGGAGAAACGTATATAATCATTTTTGTTTTTGGCTTTGAAATCGCTTTGTAAAATTATTTTCTATTCTTTACAGCTATCTTAAACTAAGATAACATTTTGGATAATAGAAGTTTTTTAATAGCATCCTATCAACTCTTTTGTAGATGATATTGTATAGTCATGTTATTGAAACATACTTACCACGACCTTCCAATACTTCGTGGTGGCGAAGTTAGGATCAGCAAATTTTGCTTCGGTGGGAAATGTGTATTTGTGTAGCCAGGACAGCATGTCTTCGTCAAGGTATTTCCCACAGTTAGAGTACTGTGAGGCATGGATATGGGTATCGACGAATCCGGGCACTACAAACTGTCTGCAAGCAGGGTAAAACGGTATAAACTGTTTACAATTAGGGGGGAATGGGGACCATCCACAACATGTGAATACGTTCTAAATCACTTTCGCATATAATGACATAGTTTAGAAAGTAGTTTAATACGGGGTGTTCTATGAATATACACTTTAGGCAGAGGCACCAAAACTCATGAAATTTTGTTTTGTCTGCTAACAAATATGTCATGAAAGAAGTTATTTCATATGTCATTTACTTGTGCACAGAGGTCAGCATATGAAATGAAGTTAAAGTTTCTAAAATAACCGACTTCCTGTTTTACAAAATTTCAGCAGCCTGTGGAATTTTGCTTTTGCTAGAGAAATTTCATAATGTTGGTTGTCATTTAATCAGTCAGTATCTCATGAATTCACGTTTATGGCGTATTGCCCGCTCCGTTATACATGTACTACATGTCCAATGCTTGAATATGCAGATATTGTCTGGGACAACTGCTCTGACAATCTTAAAAATTTATTAGAATCTGTACAACTAGAAGCTGCAAGGATTATCACAGGCCTAAGGAAAGGTGCATCACACCAAACTCTATATAAAGAACAAGGCTGGGAATCTCTGTCTGATCGAAGGATGAACCATAAGCTAATTCAGATGTATAAAATAACTAACAATGTATCACCCACATACCTCATTGACAAAATTGATTCTCCTATTCATAACCCAGAAAATGATAGGTATACTCTAAGAAATGTAAGAATGTTTAACCCGCCACTATGTCGTACAGAATCCTATGCTAAAAAAAGTCTTCCCAGTAATATGCAACAAGTTTAATGGACTACTCTAAATAAATTTAAGGCCAAGGTATATAACGAAATATGTTTCAATAATGATATCTCTGATGTATCTAAAAATTGTGAAAGCAGAAAGGGTAACATATTCTTATGTCAAATGAGAAATGAGTCGAGTAACCTGAACTATGATCTGTTCAAAAATCACTTGAAAGAGTCTGCATCTTGTCTGTGTGATGATGATTCCATTATTTTTTACAATGTCCAATGTATATTGATGAGAGACAGACTCTAATAAATGAAATTTTTGAAGTGTGTCCTGTTAATCTTGATAATAAAATACTTCTTAATGGAAGCACTATGTTAAACAATACTGAAAATAAATATATACTTGGTAGTGTTCTTAAATATATAAACAAAACAAAAAGACTTGTTTAATTAATTAAAACAATCTATAATTTTTGTTATCTATAGTCATAATTGATAAAACATACTGTCCTTAAACCATTATGTAATTCAACTGATTGTTATATATACATTGATATTTACACTATACACCTAAAGGATTAAGCTTTGGGTGCTGTATTTATAGATGGGTGCGATAAAGTAAAACAAAAATGTGCTAAGTTTGAATGCTTAAGTGTTCTGTGGTGGAATCTGGAAAATTCTCGAGTGGATGATATGTGAACGGTAGAGGCCGTTACAGACTTTTTGTCTGAAACTCGATGAGATGGAAGATTTACACATAGAACACTGGCAATACATCTTACAGTGTACTACATGTATTTTAAAAGCTTCTAGCTGAATTTCCTCGTTTTATTTTTTCATATTTGTTGTTGTTAATTACTTCGTGTAACAGCAGCAGGGTATGAACAGGGGGCATTAATGACTTGTATAAAAATAAAATAACATTGAAGCAATTTCTCTGTTTAATATATCATTAGAGCATAATTGCTTGCCTATTACTTATTAATTCTGATTGACATTTTAATTAGAGCATTGTATAGCTCAAAATATCAATTAAATATTTATATATAATTGAAACATACATGGACTTATCTCCCCTATACCATATAGACTGTGGATTTATGTTATTTATAATATATAATTTGCATCAATATTGTCTTAATAACCGTTTCATTTTTGTCTTTGTCATGTCAACCTAAGGAAATACTTGTATAGGCCTAGCCTGCTGTTCAATCCTATTGTTTACTCAATAAAATATGAGGAAATGAAATACATGTACTACCGCCCGACCACATGAAAATATCATGTTCAGAAAATAATATGCCGGGCACCCGCCCCGGTATATTGTTCGCATTTTATCTGCTACATAAAAAAACTTTTGTATGCAATGATTTTCAGGTTCACTTCCGGTGTAAGTTTTTTAGCCCTCACTGAACTTATTTCAGCTATTTAACAATGTAAGTCATCGATGCTTTCGATTTAGATTTAATTGTACATTGTAAGTTGCTTTACTTTATCAATCCTTGATACGTACTTAATATGAACAGCCACGGCGACTCCTAGTACTCCACATAACGATATAATGAGAAGATAAAATATCACACTGTCATGCATTGCTATAATTGTCTCGTGTTCTTGTTTATAATAACATATATATCAGATTTGGAATTTGAAAGAATTCGCATAATCTGCACTTTTTATAGCCTGGCCTTTCAGTCACATGACATAATTACATATCATTTACGCGCCAAGCTGTGTCACTTTGTTTTTCCTTATATTTTCTGTATTAATTTTGTAGTTAAGACAGAGTTGTATACTAACAATCCTTCAAGGTGTAGGACACTATCCGCATCAATATCATATTTCTTCAATACGTCAACTATGCTGTCGTCATTCTTCTCTATAAACACTATCTGTAACAACAAAAGGAAACTTATTCACCGTAGTCGTTCTGATAAAATATTGAATTGTAAGTAATGCATTAATTAGTCGTTACTTTTCAGGTTAGTGACCATTGTCCATCAGTTACAGTAGTTTGTATTGTGGCAGACTGTTGCTTAATAAGCTGGCTCGTAGCAAATATTAACTCACCAAAAAAATTAAATTATCGTTGACGGTTGTTGTTTGAAATTGACATTAAATAAGAATAATTGGTTATAAAAATTACTGAGAAAGCATACCCTTTAACCTTTAACCTGAAAAAAACAATTGGCACAAATGTGTTTGTTTAAAACTCTACTTCGCACTATAATTATGTAAAGTTTGAATAACTATTCACATTTCTTGATGGTTTATCCCCTATAAAGTTAGTTTGATATAAACAGGAGATAAACTTGTTCTCAGTCCTACCTTCCCAGATGTCACTCCGATGCAATGGTTACGTAAAATCACCATAGGTGAGGTCAGTGTAGAATGGATAAAAGTGCCAGTGACAGCAAACCAATTATTTAACACAGGTACAGCCATGTCCAACTTAAGACTTATTTCAAGCCCTAGTCGATGACCTTGCAGTAAACTTTAATTTAAGAATGGGGTTGCTTTGTAACAGATGTAACACAAGTAGTGCAACATCAGTAATTTTACATTTATCATCTACTTGACATTTTGATCTATATTGTAATTTAACGTGTGTATCGTGTATAATATCAATCGTTTCATATTGAAAGTGTCATAACCACATGGCGCTGTAAGTATAGCAACAACAATTGTTGCTTCATGCAAGGTTTTTATTTATTTCAGATCAACTAGTTATCAAAAAGAATACAATTCAAATACAGTGAATTGGGCAGTAGGTTCAATAGTTGTTTATACTTAAGGATAGTTGCGGTTGGATGATGTCCTTCATATTCCATTATATTTTAGTAATTTAGTACTTCGTGTCACCACTAATTTCAATACAAAACCAGGGTTCTGGTTCATTGTACGCAAAAATATTCCGAGTACACGTTGTATGATATAACAATCTATTCCATATATACATGTAAATATATAATTATTGAAATCGATATATCATCTAGATATACTTAATTTGCTTGGTTTACCACTCAGTTATAATCTGTATACCGCTCATATGAGTAGCGTCTGGTAACAGATGGCGCTTGTAATTCATGACTTCAGTTAGAAATACCCATCATACGGGTCGAATGCATGTGACACTGACTTAGTCACCTGCCTGGATTTCATATTTCGCCCCCGGTTCGCGAATTAAATATAAAATAATAAAAAGAATATGTGCCATTGATATCTGTATAATAGTTAGCGAAAGGAATACATATAAAAATAATACTGTTTGATACTTAAACGAATCTAAAGACATTCTAGTTACAAATTATCTTTACAATATGACGTCATTATGGAAATGATGGGGGCGTCATATACACGTTGTCGGAATATTCGTAAACTTCCGACACGTTATGAGAAAAGCTCATCATTATATAATGGACTTAACTGACGTCGTTTTATTCCTGTAACCTACATGTATCTACTAGCATTCTAAAGAAGCGTAACGACTCAAACTGAAAACAAACAGACAAACTATAAATGCACATTTCCTTTTTTTATTATACTTGTTTAAAATGCTGTCCGGCTAAGTATTATTTTACAAAATGTATCAAATAGTAAAAAGCAAATACACAATATGAAGTACCTGCTTGTTATTCTTTTTACATTGAAGCAATGAATTGTAAAAGTCATTACATTGGTTTTTATATTATGATGGCATTTTACTGTTTAACGTGATAACAAACACAGATTTAAAACATTCTCAATGAGGAAGCTATAAATCAATGTACTATTAAGTATTTGATGACGGTGTTCAATGATGATGGGGACATTGGTCACGGCGATTTTATTTCGACAATGACATGTCAACCTCTCGGGCACAAATGTTACATTATGTGAGACAGCGATATTCTGCTCCTAATAGCAAACGTCAATTCTGATGATAGCGGTACGCTAATAAGGTGTCGTAAAAATCACGTTTAGTCCAGTTTCTTATATTTGTTTTATAATGGTCACATTAAATATAAGCGAAAGCTGTTTTATGTAATAATAGGTCATTCTACAGCAGTTTCAAACATTTCAATCATAGTGTCCGACGTCCGAAGTCTTGAAAGATGCAGAATGGAACACGTCGATCTGGACATCTAAGGAGGACAGCATCAGGCTACCATCAATCGGGAAATTGCCATCATGGATGTTTTCAAATGGGATTGATGGGGTGTGCTTTTGCAGTGGCTATCTTGTATTTACGTAAGGATGCTGATAGGATGTATAGACATATGGCCATTCCATGAGAGGCTGCAACGCCATAAAACGAAGCTGTGTAAGAATCCGTAATGTCAAGTAACCAACCTGGAACATTTGTTTTTAAATATAGAATAAATAAGCATGGTCATATACTGAAAAACAATATCTGCGCGTAAAGCGATCATTCAAACAATTTAGAGAGAAATTAGTATGCTTTTATTTTCACATAAATTAAAATCATCATAATTTGTGTCGTGTTTTATCACAATCTCGAGAAATATATCGCGATTACAGTAAATCTAAATATTCTCTTATGTTTGGTGTCTGAACAGAAACTAGAACAGAAATGCTCATTTAGATTTTGTATCTGTCCAAGCACCAACCTGATTCGTATACAGATAGAGTGAGTACCTGAAATGGCGCCGGAACACATGGCGCAAAGACCAACCAACGTCATAAGGATTCCTACTCCAATAGCATAGTATTCAAGTCCCAAAAGTTTCATCGTAGTCATTGATAGCAACGTCACATTACCTCCCATAGATATCCCAAAGCCGAACATCAAAAGCACATGTTGGTAGTATGTAGTTGCCTTAAGCAGACCCACGACTGACACACAACTAAGACCTGTAACTAACGCGGGTATGATCAGAACACTCATATGCGGTATGTGTTTAAAAAGCCCTGGAATCATTCTGCCCACTGTATTACCTACATTCATAAAGAGGTACAGAACCAAAGCTTCTTTGTCATTAAATGATTTAGTTTTAAGGAATTCTATCAAATATATTAAAGTAGCATCATATGCTGGGAGCGTACAGCACACTGCAACGATAAATAGAATATAACAATAGTTTCGTGACAGTATTCTTAACTTTGCAATAGATGACGTTTGACGCTCAGGAAGTAAAATCCCAGTATTGTGTATTGTAGACTTTATATCTTCAAATCTGTACTTGATTTGCTGATGATGTGGCGTTTGCTCGCCTGCAGTTATCTCCTCAGGGACCAGTAATCCAGGGTGCTGATGTGTTATATTGACTACTTGTGGTTTACAAACGGCAAAGAAGCAAATCATATTCCCCATGAGACCACCCACTATAAGAAGACACCCTCTCCATCCATACATCTGAATCAGCGAATCCAACATGAATGGGAATACCATTGCACCACATCCGGATCCGGAAGCAACAAACGACAAAGCAACAAATCGGGCTTTTCCATCAAAATATTCACCCACGGATGTTGTTATAGATACAAAAGCTAGAGACAATCCGCATCCTGTAAAATATAATACCATACGCTGTAAAATATAATAACACACAAATGTACGCTGTAAAATACAATAACATACGCTGCAAAATATAATAGCATACGCTGTAAAATATAATAGCATACGCTGTAAAATATAATAACATACGCTGTAAAATATAATAACATACGCTGTAAAATACAATAACATACTCTGTTAAATATTGTGTCCTCTTTGAAGTTTCCATTGTATTCCTAACGGCAGATATGGATGGAAAATAGCACATTTTGTTAAAATCAGTCAACATTTTCTATCAAAACCATTGCTTGTTAATATAATTTCATGTTGTTGAAGTTAAACGAGATTTTCATTCTTTGATTCCTGTCTGTCAATTGGTTTTATGAATCAACGGTAGAGATAGACCAATAGCTGTTTGAATAAAGTCAAATAATGCACTCTCGACTTTCCCTACAATCGATCCATGCTCCATAATCTGACGGCCCCCTACTCCTATTAACATCCATAAACAATTTTATATTCCATTTTAAGCAACAATGGTCGATGATTTAAGATGCAACAGATCGTACATAGAAACTGTCGCGTTACTTATTGGTTGTTCTGTCAGAATATAAATATGCAATTTCACGCGAAGGTCATTTTAATATCGTGTAATCGACCTGTGGTATCCCACGATGGTATCACCAAAACGTAAAGTGATATTCGGTATTTTGTGACTGCAAACACAGAATATATTCATGTCCTGTTCCGTGTACTTTTTAATGACTGGTATCTTGTCGGTTTACTTACCCGTAACTACACCAACAGTGGCTATCAAATACGGAATACTTGTTGCAAGGAACGAAAGTATAAGGCCGGTGGAAGCCAGGAGCCCGGCACATACACCCATTTTACGAGCTCCAAACTTATTTACACACTGCCCGCATGGGAAACCTTAAAAGAAACAAAAGAAATGTAACTGAAGCACCAGTTGTAATATGAATATAGAAATCAGCGTTGACTATGTATAAACATGATATACCCCCAACCTGTCTGTTACAAAACAAACTGTTTTACCGAATGGTGGAACAAGTATTGGACGGGAACATCGCCATAATTTCTATGCTTATTATTTCCATCAGGTGAAACAATGTCTCCGTTACTATAATAAACTCACTAAAATACCCGACGAACTGTTTCCATTAGGACACTTTCATGTGTACTAGTTCTTGCTGTTCTTTGTGTGTAATATGTTTTGGTTGGCAGGTTAACCCAAGGACTGTAATGTCAATGTAAATATTATCATAACCCGAGGGCTGTAATGTCAATGTAAATATTATCTTTTGCTACATAATGTCAGTAAGTGTAGTCGAATGTGTAACACAGTTTACTTTTGACCAGAAGAAGTGAACGGTGCAAGTTGGAATCCACGTTCAGATTCACTTTTTTAACATTTAAGCATGTGTTCTTTTTCCTTAATTAAGTAATTAACTATTTTTCAAATCAATGTAACATTTTATTGATATTTTAATAACATACATATTGATTTATCTTCTATGGATTCATATCAACAAATAACTGCACACGTACAGTACAGCTACGCTTTGTATATAAGACATCATTTCAAATGACATTTATTAAATTAAATACGATCAGCTTCCAGCTTAGATAGAACACCACCCTAGATAGGTGGGTTAACCACAGGTGTAAACACATGTAAATACTGCCAATACTATTCAAAAACAGACTATAATCCTTCTAACAACATTCTTCTCCCCATGCTATTTTAAAAGTGGGGGGACTGAGAACAAGCCGTAGACAATGTACTCAATGAGTATACAATTAAGGAGTTTAGATTGTATATATTGTCCTGTGATGTTTGCAAATTAGGGGTCACTGTAGGACGTTCTGTTTGTCGACTGAAGGTCAAAGGAAATGTATAAATGTTGCGTGTAAATGTATACAATGTTAAACGATGAATATGTCACTGTCACATCAGACTCAAAGCTTAATCGGGACTGTAATGCACGAGCACGTCGGACACCATACCATGTGTGCCCTTAAAATCACCAATGACTTTTTTTTTTTTTTATCTTATACTCTTTTTTCTCTCTCTCTTTTTTTTTGCATATGTCAGCCCAAGCCATATCTGTCCAACAAACACTACATCTGTACTACAGATGTCATATCTGTTTTATTATTGGTACATGTTAGGCCTATTTGGTATGGCAGTTTTATTTGTTACTGTATTGGTTTTAAAATAACCAATGAGTCATTTTTTTATTTTTTTAAAGGCAAAAAAAAAATGACAAGTGAGGTTGTTTGGATGCCTATATCAATAATAGTTATATGAAAATACAATCTGTTTTAACCCATGAAACACCTGTCGCAGTTTTGAGAAACTTGATCAACCATATTTCTCATTATTTTAAGTTAAGTGTTTATTTAATATTTTATTTTAACAGTTTTATACCCCACAGAATTTATTAAAACTTATAAACTATATATCCAAAAAATACCTAACATATCAAATACTAAGAAAAGCTACAAATCAGACATGTAACTTTCACACAGGTAAGTTACCTGTTATTCCGCATTAGTGGAATGCAAACTAATTTAACATAAAGGTTGTGTACTTTTTCTGCCACCGTACTATCAGTGAATTATATTTAGAGTATTCGCCGGTAATATCACTTAGAACATCTATTTATTGTGTACTCTGCCTTGCTAAATAAAACGAGTCAAAACTAGTTCATGACATACAGCATGCTCCTGTGATATTTTCTTCATGCCAAAAATAGTAATTTTAATATTTTGCTTATTAAAACTAGCAAATACTTATTTAGCCCTTATGTCCTCACTCCAAGCAATCTATATAGCGATAATCTCTATTACGATTACATGAACTGTATCGAATGTAATGGGGATTAACAGTTCCCGAATTGTCCCAAAAAATATGATCGATTCGGGAGATCCTGGATAAAAGTGTCTATCTCATGTTTGGTAATAAAAAATGCTGCATTCAGGTGCATTTTGCGCCGGCATTGGGAGAATACCCACTATATTATCTCATTAAAAATCGTGTAATGTATGTAAAATCCTGTGCTGTGTGTGGTAAACTGTATAACATAAGGTACCTTACAGGCAAAAACTGAAAATCATACTAAGTAAAAATTAATCATGTGAGCCTGACCAATGACCAGGTTTGAATTTGCTAATATTGACAATAGGAATGTATCCCCTGACTATTTTTTAGCGAAGAGGAATAAATCGAGTTCGGGCACTTTCACGACCTTAACGCCTGTAGTTATTGACACTGCTAGCTAAAGGAAGACTTCAAAAACTTGTATTCAACAATTCAAGGGGGAATTTCAATGTGAAATGGAGAATATTCTTCAAATCAGGGGACGCCCTTGCTTCTGGCACGTATGCCATAAATAACTGCAAACAAGTCCAGCATTAACTAGGAGTACCATTTGTTAGCTGCATGTTTCAGTTTATCGTAGGGTGTTCAGTGATCAGTTGACCGTAGATTAAAGGCAATGCACTACAATGACGCATTACAAAGATCATTTCCGACAAACTAAATCCGGACCGGGTCTAGTGGTTACATAACCTAACAAACTATGAGCAGCCGTTGCAATATATCAACTTTACACAATCCTTGTCTGTAAATACGTGTACACAAAGGATTAAGACTACCACTTCGACTGACCTAGTAAAACGGCCTTGTCCCAGAAACCTGCCATTGTATCATAAACATTCCTATTATTCCGCGTGGAGCGGTTTCGTTGGGTAAATAAAAATCGAACTTTCTATCTCCTAGGAGGGAGGGTAATTGAAGTGAGGCTGATCCTCCATGTTTTATGACATCTTTGGAAAATTNCGGGGGGAGGGGGGAGGGGGGAGGTTACCTGTCAAGTTAATTTTCTGTGACCAAGTTTTTGTTATGGCAATCGAGTTTGTAACCTTGTTCGTATATAGGTGTATTGGCAGACGAGATTAGTGTCTGGAGGTGAAAATGTAGTGGCTTAATTTAATCTTTCAATACCTTCCAAACTATTGACATCTACAGTCTTGTATTTAATCAACTTAGAAATCTGTAATTGCCATGCACACTACGTGTAAGCGAAATTAAAGAAATATAAAATAAATAATCAATTCACGACTTTTTGTAATCTATGTCATCTTCCAATATGTTCACAGATTTCCCTACTTTGTAACATGTGTATCTTCTGTCTCGTGTTTTTTTTTGTTTTTTTGAATGTTATGGGAACCCTCCAAACATTTAACACGATGTTGATACACGTACTGTACATATGAGTTCGTGGCATATAAATAACCGTGACTTTGTATAAACTATGTCGGCAAATCATTCCAAAACTAATTCTGAATTCTGATTACAAAGACTGATTAAATACGTCTGTTCATACAATATCAATTTAGGTATCGTTTTATATTACCACGCTGCCTCATTAAAAATTTAATTAATTGTTTCATTTCCATGTCATTATTACCAGTCACATAATCATGATTATGATCAACAATCTATGTAGTGTACAGTAGTGTACATTATCTATCTGTAATTCACCTGAAAATATTGCCTTACCTGCATTGAGAAGCATCCCTGCAGTAATAGACTGTACAAGCGCTGTTTCGGCTTTACTCTTCCCAAATGCACGTAAAAACTCTAGGTTTAATACCGACATATTGTACGGAAAACCTGAACACAAAAACATGTTTAAGAAGCACGCAATTAAAACGAGCCACCTTCGCTTCGACCTCTCCTGTAGTGGTACCATAATTATGAAATGAGACGTAAACACTGCGATATCAGGCCGCTGCATACAACCTCCACATTACACTCCATGCTCAACAGATCCGCTTAAATCGTTTTGGGATACCCCCGCCAAGCTGGGATTCCCCTCGCGTCATGTTGACTCATTCAGATTGAATGTTGGTGCAGCTAGTAAGTGCTTAAAAAGACGGTGTATACATAATGCGAACTAGGTTTTAGATACGGGAAAAAATTACTGCTCTCATAGAGCCTGAAGCCTCGGCCATTATATATTATATGATTATGCCTACTTCGAGCATTTGAGCTTAGGCGTTATCACAGAGTTCTCTTTAACCCATAAACCCAAGACTACATCATCTCTTGATGTACACTTGATTTGGATTTTTTACTGATCAATTTCGAAATTAGATAGATGTTTCGTTTCCGATTCATTTCGGATTCGTTTAGATTTCACCCCATCTTTGGTCACCTATAGCCATAACAATAGCAAACAGCTGAGCTGCCCTTACTGGAACCGGGCGTGACTGTCACTTAATTAAATGTTTTTTCATAAATATTTAAGACAATAACCATTGGTGTTTTCTGTAAACCACATGACTTAACCTCGTCTTTCAAGGTGTATTTGACAGACGAGGATAGTGCCTCTGCATATTTCGTGGTAAATGAAGAATAAATACAATGGTTCGAAACAACAATTAAAAACAAACTGTTTCTATTGCCTTTTCGTTTACTTGATGTTTCACAATCTGGCTAATTCTTACCACCATATATTGATCCTAACAGTATAGGTATGTTTTGCTGAAAGTAAGAACAATATTAGCTGACAGCACCTCACGTTATTGAGCCTAAAGTTAGTTTAACATATAATGCATCTGTTTAACATTAGGCGTGCTATAGCTTATTTGTTGTTGACGCTTGGTTCTGATAACGATATTCAATATCATGTAAAATAGGCATCCTATAGCTACAGAAACGGTATCATTCCTGTCATAGAAGCACAATAGAATATCGATTCGTTTTCTTGACTTCTTTGCATACATGTAAAGATTGAGTATGACTTTGTTTAAGCTACAGAGCAAATAGTTGCACTGTATCACTGTTAGCTTGATACGGAGACATAGACACTGACTGTTTTCATTTCATCAGATTTTATTGACTTTATATATGTCAGTTGGATGCGGCATCAGGCTAGGCCTATTTAAGTCCTTTCCAAACTTATTTACAAACATTACATATATTCTGTCATAACAATCCAATGCAGAGATAACTCCAATTTAGCTTGTGAAATGAACATTTTCAACTTTGCTTTAATCATTTTCTGTTTATGTTTTAGATATTAATACGGAGACATAGACACTGACTGTTACAGTCATGCTGTAAATGTAAATGATAGTATCGTAGTACTCAAGATAGCACGTGAATTATCACGTGATGGTAAAGATATTTACATTTTTGTTAATTGTTTTCCGCCAGTTAATAGTACTTATTATGATACGCATGATCTGGATCTTTTTGTAAAACTAGAAGAAAGCATTTCTGTATATAAGGACAAATCCTCTTGTAGCATATTGGCTATAGGTGATTTTAACAGTCGAACTGATGCAGCTGATGATTTCATTGACGCTGACCTACTGGGCAATGCATCAAGTAATATTTTATCCAACATTGTTCACTATTTGCCAGATAATAGAATGAATAAACGTAAAAGTATGGACAAGACTGTCAACCAATTTGGCCGGCAACTTTTATCGATGTGCAAAAACACGGGTTTGAGAATTGTAAATGGAAGACATGTAGGCGATCCTTTAGGTAATACAACCTTTTATAGCGCTGGAGGATCTAGTCTGATAGACTATGTATTAGCGCCAGAATCATATTTTAAAAGCATACAATGTTTAGAAACCGGTGTTTTTAATGTCTATTCAGACCACTGTCCGGTCACTTTTTCTATTGGTATTTATAAACGTAGTGTGTGTAACGCGTCAAGTACTGAGAGT